TGCTGAACAGAACCTTTTTTCACACAATTTTGGATTTAATTATTTCAATTAAACTTAATTCAATTAAATTTAAATACCTATACTTGAAACTAGCCACTTGATAGTTTGTGGCAATTTAAAAGAAAAAAAAAAAAAAGTTCTGCATCCCCACAGCCAGACAACAGGTAAACAAAACGAAAAAAGGGGCTATTTCAGCATCACAGTTCTCCACAGCTATACTTCTTTGTTTAACAGATTTGACAGAAATAACATATGTCACAAAATTTTTAGGTACATACTAGACTTTAAAACAAATCTGTTTATCATGACTGATCAAATATTTACCTCTCATTTATTCTTGAAAAAAAAATCTGAAATTGAGTCAGACTTCCAATAATCAATATACATTACTTTCCTCCTTAAACAACATGGGAGGCAACTGCAGCAATATTTGCCCTTGACAGAGAAGGAAGACAATCCGAGTTTTGATCTGCCGATGAAATCTATAAGTAAGAATGAGCTATAAGTGCTCATCTCATTTGAAAGAAACTGATACAGCTTTATTCATTTTTTTCTTTTGTAATAAGCTTGCTGTTTAATTCCCTTTTTACTTTACACATCAACACCTCCTCAGAACACTTTAGTTTTCCAAAAGCAGTTAAAATACTGGGAAATAATTTGTCTGGAGCACTTACCTCTACCATCAAATGAAGAGGGAATTAAGCTTGCTACTGTTTCATCTAAAGTTTTTGATGAAGCTCTGCTTTCCACAGAATTGCCTTCCTGTAAGACAGACAATCAGGTATCATAAAAGTAGGAATAAAATCACTGACCTAAACAGAGCTAAACATAAAAAAACCCCATAAGTTAAAAAATCCTCAAACTGTGCACAGATAAAGGTGTAGGGGATTTTGTAGCCTGACTTTTTTTGTTGCTTTTCTTAGTGGAGCCATCATTTTGACCCTACAGAATTACAAAATATAAGCAGATACCTCTCCATTGCTGTACAAGCAAGATGATGCCTTCTTACATTTTACAAAAGCATTCAAACAATGACTCTAAGAATGAACAAGAAGTAGTTTTAATGTGCCAAGTCCATTAAAAACAAAGGCCATCAGAGTCAAACTAGCAATGAAAAAAGAAACTGAACTGACAGCAGAAAGGTCTTTTTTCCACCACAGGCAGTTTTCCACTGAGAGGCACTGGAAATACTATGCTGTTTGGATCCCTCAAAATTATTCATCTTTAATCACAGCTGAAAACTCCAATTCAATATATGTGACATACTGCTGAATGTGTCAGTATTGGATTTACTAACAATGAGGGAACCAAGGAAATCAAGAAGAATGACGTTAAATGCTTATGCCTTAACAATATTTTTTTTCCCCCTTCTGGAATTGTTTCTTACTTTTATCCTTTAGCACAGAGCAATTAAGTACAATATTCCAGACTACTTTTTTTTTTTTTAGTATGTTAAAGCTACTGGATAAGTGACTGCTTACCTATTATTTCCAGGTGAGAAAGAAAACAAGAAGCTGTTGAGAAACCTCAGGAACATATGTGCTCTGTACAGGCAAGCTAGAAGTCTAGACCATAGCCACACCAATCTAAAATTCTAACAGTACTTGGCTTTGCCCCGTCTACTGGCAGCATAGACAAGGAAAGAATAGTGAGGAAGGGTAAAAGAGGAGACAGCAAGCACTGACACCACCATCTACAAAAAGAACTGTAAAAGCTCGAGCTATGAAGCTCCTTGCTTGCAAGGTACTTAAACAGGTCTTAAACTACCATACTAAATGCAAAATACTTGCATTCAGAAATGCTTGAACTTTAGACAAATTGTTAATGAGTTCTGCAACATGAAAGCATCAGCTAACCTCGGTGTTCAACAAGAGAGACATCTGTGGTTGACTAAGGCACATAATGTTACTTTCCACTGAACATACTGGTCCACTTTTATGCTGTACATTCAATATCTCACTGCTTCCCAAACTCTGTGACTTGTGGAAATCCAGAACGGTAGCTTCAAATGCAGGTACAGGAAGAGACTCCGTTTTTGGAGTTTGAGCTGACTTCTTGTTTGTAGTTTTATTGAACCTGTCTGAATAAAGCATGTAAAGTGCAAATAATTAAACTTGCTTGTGATCATTTCTAGGTATGTTTTATAGTACACTGGTTGACCTAAGTACATACTGTCACAAGAACTATTACTACACATAGCTCATATTACAAAAAAAAAAACCACCTAGCAATTATAACCAATGTGTTTACGTAACACTGCCTCAACAAGCAACTGTAAATTCAGATGCTGGCTTAGGAAATTCTTCATGTCAGTTTACATGAATTTGTTCAACCAGCAAAAAGATGTAAGTCACCATCCCTTGTCAAAAAGTCACACAGGGAAGAAATCACTTCTTCGCTGGGTGAAAAACTGGTTGGGTGGCCGAGCCCAGA